GGGTTTAGAACAATATGTATAAACACACACAAATCACAGAATATCTAAAGATAATAAAAGTGGTTGCCTCTGGGGGGGCGGGGGCGGGTGGAAACAGGATTAGATAGATAAGGAGATAAAATGTATGTGAATAGCCCTGGCTGGTTTGGCTCAATGGACTGAGCATTGCTCCATGGACTGAAGGGTCCCAGGTTAGATTCCAGTCAAGGGCACGTACCTTGGGAGGAAGACTCAGTGACGGCCCTGATCCGGAGGCACAGTCGAATGTGGATGAGCAGGGCATGGCTGCATCCATCTCAGAGATGTCTTCCTCTTTCTTTGTCACTGTCTCCACTTCACAGAGGTCTTCCACTTTCATGGTCTCAGAGACGATCTCACAGATGTCTTCCTTCTTCTTTGTCACTGTCTCCACTTCACAGAGGTCTTCCACTTTCATGGTCTCAGAGACGATCTCACAGACGGTTTCCTCCTTCTTTGTCACTGTCTCCATGTCACAGAGGTCTTCCACTTTCATGGTCTCAGAGACGATCTCACAGACGGTTTCCTCCTTCTTTGTCACTGTCTCCATGTCACAGAGATCTTCCACGTTCATGGTCTCAGAGACGATCTCACAGACGGTTTCCTCCGTCTTTGTCACTGTCTCCATGTCACAGAGATCTTCCACTTTCATGGTCTCAGAGACGATCTCACAGACGGTTTCCTCCTTCTTTGTCACTGTCTCCACCCCACAGAGATCTTCCACTTTCATCTCTGTCTCCATCTCACAGATGCTTTTCTCTTTCTTTGTAGCCATTTCTGTCTCACAGATGTTTCTCCCACTCTCTAAAAATCAATGGAGAAATATCCTTGGGTGAGGATTAACAACAAGAAGAACAAAATGTATGGGAATGTACATAGCTATATAGTTTTGATCATAGACCATGCAAATATTTTACATAATTAAAACCCCAAATTAAAATAAAGAAGAATAAAAGGCATTCCTTTTTATTCTAAAATTGGAAACAAACCATTGAAATGAACCCAAATGAACACCAAATAGTAGTATAATGACACAAAGGATATATAATTCTTTTCAGTGACTTTTAAACCCAGTATTTTGATTATATATCTTTTGGGGAATACACTCTTAAGGTTCAAGTAAATTCTGAAGAAATTTGAAAATGCATTTAGCAAACTTATCATTATTAGTAATATTGATATTGTTATTTTGAAGCTATTGTATATAGAATACTATGCTATACTATATTTTCTGTTAGAAAATGTATTTACATTTCTTTAGAAGTCACAATTTTCAGTGTTAAGAGAAAAAGAGATATAAGTATAAAATTAAGAAATTAAGGGAAAAACCATCAACTTTTAAATTGAAATTACAAATATTAGTATGAATTCAAATATTTTCCCCCCCACAAAATGTTTTTCCACTCTTCCATTGAAAGGTCCTTGAAGGAATGACAGCCCAGTAGCTGTAAATGCACCTACTATCCAGCTTGTGGTCTCTAAATATCATTTTTCACTAAAAGGAACTAGGGCCAGGACTCTAGGAGAACCTGCTGAGTCCAGGTCTGGAACGGAGAATAATATGTAAGGTGAATCTGGGCAACCTTATTCCAGAAAGCAAGGAAGCTACCAAGGACTATTAAATCATGTCACACACACACAGAAAAAAACAAACAACAGGAGAGTAACTAAAATGCGACAATCTGAGCATCAAAACAAATAGCCACCACGACATATAAGTATTTAAATATGAATATAAAATTAGTTCATAACTACACACTTCGTTGGTCATTTTTGGAGATTTCTAGGACGTTCTCATTGCATTGAAAAATGATGAATAAACAGAACAAATAAAGCATTTATCCTTCTCTTTTTTTTATCCTTTAAAAGCTGTACCAAAAGGAAACTAAATAGTGTATGAAAGCATGTTACTCATAAAAGAATCTATAATACATGTATTAAAGTGTTATAATATACCCCCAATGAAAGTATGCATGTAGGCAACAATCATCCATGAATGTGGAAACCATGGCTGGCAGGTTGATGAAGAACAATATTATGGAGGAATCAGAAGAATGCCTCTGAACCCACAAATAATTATAACACCACTAACAGTGTGCCAACAGGCAGTATTGGCTACCTAATGTGAGGTAATATGAAGTGCACGCCCCCTCCCATGAAGTAATCCTATAGAAAGAGATTAAAAAAAACCAACTGAACCTGAAGTTAATTAAGCTTCTAGATCTTACTATCATATTGTCTGATTATAGGGGACTATTAGGAATAAAGGAACAAGTTAGAAGAAACCACAAAAAGTCCATCAGCCAAGTTCACAATGATGGACACTCTATAGGACAAATAGCTCAGCTTCTCTGACAAACCAATGAAATTTTAAAGAGGAGGAGGAGGAGGAGGAGGAGGAGGCAGTGCGTTTAGAGATAAAAGCAGATGCCATTAAAGGAATTTCAGTTGAATTATGACTGTTTGTGGTGGTTTTTGAAAATGATCATGGCAGAAGGATCTTGTGTGTGCTCTGGGGTTGTAGGATGAATGATACAGAGCCTTTGGGACTTGGGGGGTTCCCAGTGATACAGAGAAGCTTGATTGACACCTGCTTCCTAGAATCTCCCTGTACTCAGAGCCCTCCGCCGCAGCTCTCAGTTCACCATGGGTAGGAAGGAGATGCTTTTGATACAACTATTTTAATACCCCAAACCTCTGCCATTTTATTTTAATGAAGATTATTTCATAAAGCTGCTGTAGGATGTTCTGCTATCCAAGGGGAATGCCTTTTTGCCACCATCAGCTTGGAGACAAGTCATTATTGTGGTTGCATCAGACAGCTTGATTAAAAGGAATGTCTCACTCACCTAAAGGCAAAAAAGGAACAGGGTAGCTTTAAATAACAGTCTTTTATTGAAAATAATTACTCTGGACTACCACTCATGCCTCCTTTGTGCACACGCACTGTCACATGTTCAACCATAGACTCTGCAAGGGAGCCTCCAAGAATAGATGCTATCTCCCCCAGCAGTCTCGTGGACCTTTAGCTAATAATGTTACCAGGGAGGGGGATGTCCCCAGGGAGTGTAGCACAAAAATCAACACCAGGATGTCTATTAGTCCTTCTTTGGGCTTCTTAGGAACTTATGGACTCCATCCAAGTAGCAGGAACTTGTCTTTACAAGTTTCATGTTTCTAGTAAAATATCGGTTTTGTGATATATATAAGGAAAAGTGCAGAGTTGTAGCTTTAAAATATTATTTGTCTATATATTCTGTTATGAACTTCGTGATGGAGGCAAGCAAATGTGGGAATCAGATTCATCCAAAATTATTTCTTCTCCCTTCATTCACCAGTTCAATTAGCTGCCAAGTGTATCAATTCAAGGCTATTTTAATCTTAGTTTAGGAAAATTATTCTCCCAAGCTTCCTTCCTGTGTTTGCTCTATATCCAACCATACACATTGATGCCAGGGAAATAATTCTGAAAAAATTTTTTTATATGGTTATTCCTCTGTTTAAAACACTTTAGTGGCTTCCTATTGCATCTTCATGTTCCTGTCTAAGCCCCTAGTGTGTCATTTAAGACTTCTTACAAGTAGATCATGACATTCGTCTCTGGATTGATCTGTCTCTTTTCACTGTCACCTGTAACCTACAATTCGGTTACACTAAATTATGTTTAGTTTCCAAAGCATGTTATACCACCTGATTGTTCAAATTATGTGCCTGAGAACCATCTGGGGAGCCAGGGACATTGCAGCTCCTATTGCCCCATGCCCACAGGTTTGATTTAGTCGGTTTGAGCTGGTACTCAAATATGTACATTAGGAACAATGGCTACAGATGGTTAGGATGTACACTAGCATCGCACTTTGAGGACAACTGTTTTATGCCTTAGCATAAGGTATGTGTGATTTTTTTTGTTGCCTTTTCATCACTACCACCCTAAACAATGACTTCCCATGATTGCCACCTCTGGTCCTACAACTTCCAGGTCTCTTCTCCATCCCAATTCCCCCTAGTAGGCTTCGATGCAGTTGGGGTAAAACCCTCTTTTTCTCAGGGTAACATTATAGTTCACCAATTGTAGGATCCCACTACACACTCCTGTTTTTTGGATAGGCTCCACATTATTTCCTCAGTTACATGTAAATTGAAATGTATGTGTTTCTTTTCTTTTAGTTTTGCCCAAGATGCAAGTATGGGTAGTTTTATTCTGGCTCATTATTCTGTGCAGTCTTTGGAGGGTATGTGAAGAGATTACTATTTAAGTATCCAAATTACCTTAATTTGAAATCCCAAGCATTATGTTAAAATAATATTTTAAGTTTTAAAAACCATAGATCAAATTTCCTTTTAACTTACTTTGATTTTATATTCATATTTCGTAATGCATGCAGAATAAAAATTATATGTTGACACTACCTTCAGAGCCTACGCTCCTTAACCCAAGGATGCATTTTTAACCTATGTTACCTAGTACTTGATGCAAATAGAATCTTTAGCAAAGACAAAAATTGCTAGAGATTTGTAGTTGAGTCTAGCTGTTCCCCCTAAAACTAAAATAGAGTTTAATTTTTGCTTAGACGATTCTTTTGATATTGGGTACTGAAGTGGTCTATCCACTGTTCTTAGCCATCCTCTCCTGGAAATTTTTTGTCTGAATCACAGCACTATAACTCTCATGATAAGTTGATATTCTACATTCTGTTTTAAAGTAGGATCCCACTACACACTCCTGTTTTTTGGATAATCTTCACATTATTTCCTCAGTTACATGTTAATCTTTTTTGATAACTTTTACTTGTAAAATACTTTTTTTTTCACACAGAGAATTTGGCTATACATTTTAGGAATATATTCTCAGTGTTTTATTTTTACTTTTATTTTTAAAATAAAACATCACTTTTATTGACAAGTTATAGTACAACGGACTTCACAGAACAACAGAAATAAGACAGTCTCAAGACATGGAGTGTAACATTGCAGCAAACAGATTAATTATCTTCATCCTCATCCCCTCCCTCAGTACTATCAGCTCCAACTTCCTCATAATCCTTCTCAAGGGCAGCCATGTCCTCACGGGCCTCACAAAACTCTCCTTCCTCCATGCCCTCACCCACGTACCAGTGGACAAAGGCACGCTTGGCATACATCAGGTCAAACTTGTGATCCAGGCGAGCCCAGGCCTCAGCAACAGCTGTGGTGTTGCTCAGCATGCACACAGCTCTCCGTACTCTGGCCAGGTCTCCACCAGGTACCACAGTGGGAGGCTGGTAATTAATGCCAACTTTGAAGCCAGTGGGGCACCAGTCCACAAACTGGATGGTACGTTTGGTCTTGATGGTGGCAATGGCAGCATTGATATCTTTGGGGACCACGTCACCACGGTAAAATAGGCAGCAAGCCATGTATTTACCATAGCGAGGGTTACATTTCAACATCTGGTTAGCTGGCTCAAAGCACGCATGGGTGAGCTCTGCTACAGTTAGCTGTTCATGGTAGGCTTTCTCAGCAGAGATGACAGGGGCATATGTAGCCAGAGGGAAGTGGATGCGGGGGGAGGGCACCAGGTTGGTCTGGAATTCAATCAGATCGACATTCAGGGCTCCATCAAACCTGAGAGAAGCAGTGATGGAGGACACAATCTGGCTAATAAGGCGGTTAAGGTTAGTGTATGTTGGGTGCTCAATATTGAGATTTCTAAGACAGATGTCGTAGATAGCCTCGTTGTCAACCATGAAAACACAGTCAGAGTGCTCAAGGGTGGCGTGGGTGGTGAAGATGGAGTTGTAGGGCTCAACCACAGCTGTGGAGACCTGGGGGGCTGGGTAAATGGAGAACTGCAGCTTGGACTTCTTGCCATAATCGGCAGAGAGATGTTTTATCAGCAGGGAGGTGAACCCAGAACCAGTTCCCCCACCAAAGCTGTGGAAGATCAAGAAGCCCTGAAGACCTGTGCACTGGTCGGCTACTTTCCGAATTTGGTCCAGGACGAGGTCGATGATCTCCCTGCCAATGGTATAGTGTCCACGGGCATAGTTATTGGCAGCATCTTCCTTGCCTGTGATGAGCTGCTCAGGGTGGAAGAGCTGATGGTAGGTACCAGAACGAACTTCATCAATAACTGTGGGTTCCAGGTCTACAAACACTGCCCTAGGCACATGCTTGCCAGCGCCTGTCTCACTGAAGAAGGTGTTCAAGGAGTTATCTCCCATCCCAATCATCTTGTCACTTGGCATATGGCCATCAGGCTGGATGCCATGTTCCAGGCAGTAGAGCTCCCAGCAGGCACTGCCAACCTGGACACCAGCCTGGCCAATGTGAATGGAGATGCACTCACGCATAACTGAGACTTTTAGGGCTCCGTGGGCCTGGAGGCGGGTGAGGGGATGGTAACAAGGACCTCTCACTGGCAGACTACTAAGGAGTCCGGGGCAGAAGTCTCTCAGTCTTTTTCTATTTCTTGAATATATTGCAGCTAGTTGAATGATGGAATATCATCAGTTTAATTATTACCTGCTAAAAAGAAACTTTTGTTTCAAATATAGTCTACAAATTAAGTGAACAAAACAAAGCTATTTATAACTTTTTAACAAATATTCCTGCCTAAAATAAAATGTGGTAGATATTATTTTCTAAATCAAACTTTTGTATGCAAACGTCATTTCTTAAAACTAATAATCAAGGCTAGCCTAATCTCAAGGTTCAGTGTTATTATGCTTCAAGGACACAATTACCTTTAAAATCAGGCTATTTCTAAATTATTAAATCAATAGTCCTAAAATGTATTAAACATTTAACTACTAAAGCCAGGGATCTTCTTTAAAAAAAAAACAAACAAACAAACAAAACAACTGGTTATTTCTGGTCTTTCTTTTCTAAGGAATTGTATTGATTTTTATAATGAAATCACAGTGCTTTATTTTTCTTTAAAAGTAATTTCTTCACTATTTGGATACATTTATTCTTCAACTGGATTTTAAAAACTGTTTTTTTAAGTTAAAAATAACCCCACTCC